GGGCAAGCGAGAGCGGGGGGCGTGGAGCGGTGACAGAGCCGGACGCGTGGAGCTGTGACGTGACAAGCTCTGTCACCTCCCTTAGCCTCTATCCCCGGCCGCTGCTCGTTCTTGTCACAGGAGTTTTAGCACAGTACTGTGCTAGAACCCCTGTGTTGGAGGTGTCAGGGTCAATAAATGGTACGTGTCACCTCCAAATGCTATCACACAAGGGCTTGTTAGCCCCTGTGTGATAGCAATAAAGTTAAGTGCAAAAAAATAGTTAAAAAAAGTAAATTATAAAATAAAAAATAACTAATAGAAAAATGGAACAAAAAAAATAAAAAAGGCGATAAAGTAAAAATAATAAAATAAATGAAAAATCAAATTTTTTACAAAAGGAAATAAAAACTGAAAAAAATTGAAAACCAGCCCCGCTGCCCCCATCATCTGCATGCAAATAAACGTGGTGAGGGAAACCACGCAATCTGCCTGACATGACTGGGGTGCCATTAGAAAATAATTGGAGGTGGTGCGCGATCCATGACCGCCCGGTCATCGTGCACGAAACCGAGCGGATGGCTGGGCGGTCACGGAATCGCACACCACCACCGATTGCGCCACCAATCAGATCGCACGATTTCTTGCCGCAATACTGTCTGGACGGTCCCACACGATCGCGGTTGAAAACATGAATAGGTTAAATGTTCCCAGCATGATTGGATTTGTAGTTTCACTACAGCTGTGTGAAAGCAAATAAAAATGTTTTATTGTTCTAAAACAGTCTTAAAATAAATTTCTTCATAATCATAAAGAAATTGGCCTAAAATCATTAGTCTGTATTGTTTTTTTTTTAAAATGTCACCTGCCCTTTAAGAAAAAGTATCGGTAATTGGTATCGTCAAGTACATGAGGGAAAGTTTTTAGTCTTGAAAAAAGTGGCATCGGGACATCCCTAGTTACGACGAGTAAAATCGATACCCAACATGCCCAGGTTCAAAATTGCCTGCGTCTGAAGGGGACAAAATTTAGTACCTCAAAAGTGCATGGACGACACTTTAAAAACCTGTAGGGTCATCAGTTCAGAGATGCACATAAATCCACTGGTCTACAAGGAGAAAGCCGTGGAAATGAAAGTAGCTACATTTTACCAGAATTGGGATACTAATAAAGGAAAATTAAGTCCCGAGTATTAATTGGCTCTAGTTTCCAAGATACAGATTAAGGTCAAAATTGAATCAAAATAAATCAGAATTACGAGGGGAGATGTGCAATTATGCTTCATAACTTTTCTGCAAAATGTGATATAGCAATGAGAAGAGTGCCACACCAATCATTATAAATGTATCTTTTTTATTGATACCAATAACTTAACTGGGTGGACTAAAGTTTGGGTCTGCTGACAATCAACGGCCCTGTCTGAGTCTAGAGAGTAGGATTCTGGTGGATCTGGTCCTCACCATCAGGGGCGTATTTACCGCGAGGCAAAGTATGGCGGGCTTGTAATCGGTGCCTGCGACTAGAGTTAAAGCCCCCCGGGGGGTGTGTGTGTGTGCTAGTAAGGCCAAATACATAAATACACCACTGCTCACCATGGGGTACAGGACGCAGTGCCGATGGAATGTTTGGCTATTCCACGATCCACTTCTTTCTTGAGATCACTTTTGTAATTGGGGGAACCATGCAAAAATAGCAATCGCTTCTATGATTTGTGGGTTCCCTCCACACCATATGGACTGCAAAAGCTTGGACTTTTTCTTCTTGCTTATCCAATGACGCAGATCAGTTGCACATATACAGGTGAAACTCGATTAGAATATCGTGCAAAAGTCATTGCAGTAAGTGCTGCAAAAGGGGCCCAAACCAAGTACTGAGTACATATGCATGCTTCTACTTTTCAGAGGTCCGATATTGTTCTATGTACAATCCTTGTTTTATTGATTGCATGTAATAATCTACTTTTTTGAGATTGTGGATTTGGGGTTTTCATGAGCTGTAAGGCATAATCATCACAATTATGACAAATCACGGCTTGAATTATCTTGCTTTGCATGTAATGAGTCTATCTCATATATTAGTTTCACCTTTTAAGTTGCATTAGTGAAATAAATGAACTTTGCACGATATTCTAATTTACCGATATTCTAATTGAGTTTCACCTGTAATACAACGATAACGAGGGGCCCAACTCTTGTCTGATCCCCTATTTTGCATCAAAATATAGGTGGTATGCTTTTTGTTTTTAGCACCGCCGTCAAGTTATCTGCGTTGTTTACACAGTTTCAAGGCATCTTGGCTTCTGAGGGAAAATATCAAGCAACTGTTCCTTGGAAATGTTATGCAATGACACTTTCACAAGCCACAAGATGTGATTGTATGATGCGTAGATCTGACCAAGACAAATGTACCTTGCAATAAAAGAATAAATTACAGATGGGTAATAATCTTTAGTCTCAAAGTGAATATACATTTATACACTTCCAGGTGGTACCATTTTCATTGATCTACCGTACTTTGCCAGGAAGTTACGAGGCATCATGATCACCAGACACCTTCCTACCTTGTAGGCAAATATACTCACCTGTGTATAAATCTTTGTAAAATATCTTGAAAACTTTAGCCAACCAGCACCTTTATCACCTGTTTTCTAATTCATCTAATCAAAATATGTAAGAACACATTTTATCGTGGAGGTCGATAATTTCCCAAAATTGTAGACCAGTGATATCGGCCCTAGAATTATTGATCTCACTCTTGTGTGCGCGGCGATACCCAACATATTTTTAAAACTTTTTTAACTTTAATTGCTATCACATAAGGGGGCTGACAAGCCGGCCCCAGGCCTGCAGGAGAAGCAGCGAAGCCCGGGAAACACGGCAGGGGTGTCGGATGGGCACTTTACAGGCCCATAGAAGCGATCTGGCGGAAGCTGTGCCGCCAGAGTTGCTTCTATTGTGAAGTCGGCAGGTATTAGGTACGTCCGTGGCCGTGAAGGGGTTATGACTAGGGGGCCTGTAAAATAGTCCAATATTAACTTCGTAGTATCCACACCTATATGGAACTCCATCCATATTGCCACAGCACCATCACACTCTCCACCAGCAAGATCCTCTTTTACACTCACTTTTAGATCACTTTTCAAATAGAAATAGAGACCTCTCCCAAGGAAAGCACAGCCAGGAATATTAGCAGCCCAGTCATGTGAAACATGGCAAGATTCTGCAATACAAATTAAATCAGTGTTTTCCATTCACTTGCTTGCTCTCTCTCTCGCTCTCTCTTTCTGCTGCCTCGCTCTGACGTATTGCCCCTCGCTCTCGCACTTTTGCTTTCTCTAGCTTGTTATCTCTCTCGCTCTGACGTATTGCCCCTCGCTCTCGCACTTTTGCTTTCTCTCGCTTGTTCTCTCTCTCGCTCTGACGTATTGCCCCTCGCTCTCGCTCTTTCTCTCGTGCTCTTTCTCTATGGTCTTCACCACATACTTAAACATTATACTACCAAGGACTAACTAATAGGAACTGTGAATACAGACATAATGATACACTGGAAATAAGCTTACCACGTTGTAAATGGTCACTTTGCACTGCCCAAGAGGTGTTGCCACTATGAATACTAAGGAATTGGGGGGAGTTTCCCCACAGAAGCTCATGCACGAGAAGCAAAGCCTTGTGGGAGAAGCAGTTTCTACGCCTACATTGTAGCTCTAACCGAGCACAAACTCCAGTAATCTATACAGAGCACAAGGCAGCCATTTTCAAAAGAGGGAACTGAGAAAACAACTAAAAAAAAAAGTAAGTTTTTGTGCTTATATCCAGGATCTGTATATTCCGGCATCATCTACACTCTTTGTTCATTGCTGGCATATTTTTTTTTTTAAATGCCTCCGCAAAGGTGGAAATGTCCTTTAAGGTAAGCAAGAAATGACCCTTACTGTTAGCACAGCCAAAAGTGGAGCAAGCACCTTGGTGACCTGGAAGAGTGCGAGGACTTGGAGAATATAATGGATCCCATCGCACTCCTGACCAGAAAAACACAAGAAACAGGCTGCTGGAGTAACCACAGATGCCTCTGCATATCAAAATGTAAATGGTAGAAAGTCACTTGCACTCCAAAAACTTTTGCAGTCAATCTCCTTTATTGACCATTTCATTTTATTATAGGAGGACCAACAGATTCACACGTTCACTCACACACACAAATACGCACAACCCCCACAGAAATACACACACAATAAGGCCCCATTCACATCTATATTTTTAGGTGCAATTAGGGATTCCTGCATCGGGAACTTGCTTTTTCCTGCAGCATCCCCAATTTGGCTTTTTCACAAGCGACAGCTGTCACCCATTTAAGTTTCATGATTGGGTGAAAGCCACTGCATTCGCCCAAGGCCAGTACTTTGAACCCCTGCCCTAAAGGTGGCCATACACTTTACAACCATCGCAAGACCTTAGTCTTGCAATGGTTGTAAAGTAATTTAAAAAACGTACGATCTGCCCATCTTGGCAGGCAGATCGTACTGCTTCTGATGACCGCAATGCTGAACGGGCAGTGTGCGCATGCGCAAACCGGCCCGTTCGGCATTTGTCTCCCGAGCATCATTCAAACCAGCCGAAAATCGTAAGATTTTCTAGCATACTCCTTAGACAAAAGACGTGCGACCGTACAGTAGAAACGGTCGCACGTCCTTATTCACACGAGAATCGTGCAGTGTATGGGCACCTTTTGTAGATTCTAATTACTGGCACCTAATCTGAAACACCAGATTCTAATTTCATGGCCATAAAGTAGTGGTACATGTGACAAATCTGCATTTTTGTGAATTTAGATGGAGACTGAATAAACCATGAACATTTTATGTGTCATTTGTTCAAGTATATCACTTTCATCTGTAGTCATTTAGGTGAAGAACTAATGCTTGCATTTTCAAGTATGCTAAAAAAACAAAACAAAAACACAATTTACATAGTGTGCAGTTACTTTTTCACATGACTGTTTGTCATCTCATATTCATACCTTACCTGTCACCTGCAGCTGCTGTCTGCACAGTACTAGTCTCTGTTGGTCTTCCTCAAAGTCCACTATATGTGCATCAAAAGGCAGCTCCTGGTTGGTTAATAGCTTTGGACTGTACCTGCCAGCATCATAATCACTGAGGCTCTGCTGTATGAGATCTTCTTCTATAAGGACAGACTCCCCACATTCATCTTTCCCCTCCCCTTCTGGTACATTTCCAGATTTTTCAGGTACCAAAACATCAGAAGATGAGCCAGGCTGCTCTGACACAGACTCATCTTTAGCTGACCTGGAAAAGAAAGTATAAAAAGTAAATACAAAAATAGTTATCAATTAAAGTCTATACTTACTGAGAAAAATATGTTTTGAGCCAGAGGTCAGCAAACCCTTATCACAGTTTTATTTTTAGGCCAGCTATCTTTATAAGAAACAGCAAGAGGTGTCTGCACAGCCTGTCTTTAAACCTTTCATGTCCTTGGGTAAAAAAAAAAAAGGCTGGACTAATTTTTTTAACGTTTTGGTATGCAGTAGTTTACTCATTAGCTTCTAAACCATACCAAAATGATGAACCAAACAATTAAAACACATATGAGGTCTTCATTTGGCATTTTTAAAGATATTTTCTATACTAAGCAAAGAAAGAGACAAAAATGTGAAAGAAATCCAGTTTTAGTTCGGAACATATTTCATGTAATAAAACTACTCCAAATATTTACACTAAATTGTTTTCCATTTATGCAGGGGCCCCTAAATATGTTTTGGTTTTATCACAATACAATGGCTGTAATTCACTGTATAATGGCTGTAATTCACTGACAGGGATGACAATGTATAGAAGGACCATTGTGAATTGGGTTAAATAAAAAAAAAAAAGATGTGTGTGTTGACTTAATGACTTATTTCTAAGCTCAAAATTGCATCCGCTTGCAAAATACTAAAAAACAAAGATTCTTCATAACTGTAAATAGACAAAGCATTACAAACTGTGACTAATTCTGGCATGTGTGATGTCAAAAGTGCAACAGATGTTTATATACATACATGTGTCCTAATGTATGTGTGTGTATTTTTTCCACTTCAGTGCTATCACTTTTGAGCACAGCGACAGCAGGGCCGGCCTTTGGGGTGTCAGAGCACAGGGCGCCGTGGTTAACAAGGGCGCCAGGCAGCTGACACAGCTCGTGCTTGGGGCGGCACAGCCTGCGGCTCCTCTCCTCCTCACCGCTCGACCATCCGACATGACAGTGCTCTCTCCTCCGCCCCCTTCCTTCAGCGATGTCCTCAGATGGGCTGAGGCAGCGGGGCTCCGAGGAGAAACTGTCCGCTGAAGCCTGCGGCCGGGGGGGTGGGGTGGGTGGGCGCAGTGAGGAGGAGAAAAGCCGCAGCTGTCAGTACGGCTGAGCAGGGAGGAGAGCGGAGCCGCTGTCATCCTGTCAGTTTCAGGATGACAGTGGCTGTGTGCATGGCCGAGCAGAGGATCAGTACATATCAGTGATACTTACCGATCCTCTGTGCAAAGAAAACACTGGAGTGATCGTCTGATCACGCAAATGTTTGTAAAAAAACGGGGACACATAGTACTATGTGTCCCTAGTAATGAATGAACAGAATGTGATTTACATCACTTCCTGTTCATTCATTAGTTTCTGAACACTCACTCACTACTCACTCACTACAGAGGCTTCTCCCCATTCATAAACTGGTAATAGTAAATATTTTACTATCATCGGTTTCTGAATGAATGGGAAGCCTAGGTACTGAGTGCTTTCCATTCATTTAGAACAGAGGCTGCAGAAAAATAAATTGAGGACTCTGTGTCCTCAATTTCTTTTCTATTTTAAAAGATAAATGTCAGGGGTCTTTTTAGCTTAAGGCCGGCCCTGAGTGACAGTTTCCCTTTAGAGACATCAGGAGTCTTTGGGGAATGAGAGTTCCTCAATCTCGTCTCGCTAACCCTTCCCTCCCCCTGACCAGATTGCTCTTGGTATCCTAGTGGTAAGAATAGCAAGGTGAACCTAGGGACAGGAAAAAAAAAAAAAAAGCACACAAACTGGCGAAGACACCCCAAAAGGTGTAGAAACAAAATCGGGTGGCTTTTTAACTACCCCATCCCTTCTACATGAAGATCAGCAGCTGCATGACTTGCAGAAAAACAATAGCAGCCACAGGTTTGTTCACATAATTTCACTGCAGTGCCATAAGAAAGTTACAGCAGTGGCAGTAAAATAATTTATTATACAGAAAACTTAACCAAATGGTTACTGGTGTAAGTTTTTAGATCCCCCAATTTACATCAGAGCAATTTTCAGAGGGTGCTGCAGCTGCAAAAGAAGGACATTAATTTACATCTTCTTAGAATAGGGTACCTGGAGCACATTACGTTATAAAAGAGGGGGTTAACCTGTAAAACTTCCTGAAGCTTCACAAATCCTGGATATGTGGTTAAGACTGCCTCTTAAAAAAAAAAATCAGATTCTTTGCTCACCATAAATCCTTTTCTCTGCTGGGTTATAACCCAGCTGCCACCTGCACAAAACAAAATGCTAGCCACAAAACAAAAAAACAGCCTAGGGGTGGCCGCTGCTGGTGGCCAACCCGTCTGTTAATATAGCTTCAGTTTGTAGCAAGTAACAAAAAGACCAAAAGACAAAAAGTAACAAAAAGATTTTACGGTGAATACAAAATTCCAATTTTCTCTTCCGTTCATTGAAGGACGAAGCAAAGGTCTTCAGATCTTGACCAATAGGACCTCAACATGCAGTGATCCTGAGGGGAGGGCATGAAAGAAGAAGAAGAAAAAAAAAGGAAAAATAAACAAGAACAAAGGTCACAGGCCAGTAGAATCACACTGCCACCTGTAAGACTTAACGCCCAAACCTGAACAGAACGTCAACCTTATACAGTTTGGTAAAGGTATAAACCGGAGGACCAAGTGGCCATTTTAAAAACTTGAGAAACAGAGGCCTGGTGTCAAGAAGGCCAGGAAGTACTCACCGCTTTAGTAGAATGAGCAACGACAGAGGCTGCAACCCTTGAAGAGACTAGGCCTGCATAATTAACTGACAACCCCCGCGCCCCCTCCCCCCCAAACTGAATCAGTTCTACGAAAAGACGCTGTGGCATCTAGGTATACTCAATGTCCAGTTGAACAATGTCCAGTGCAAGGCCCACTCCTAATAGAAGGAAGGAAAGAGGGTTCTAGGGTGAAGCACCACTTTATCCCTATGCAACACCAGAAAAGGGGACTTGCAGGACAAGGCTGCCAACCCGGAGACCCTGCACGTCAATGGCAACTAAAAAAGCAACTTTCTGAGGAAGCGTTGGCAAAGGAATTTCCCAAATATTTCCAAACAGGAGTTCTGTAAAACTGAAAGCACCAAATTCATGTCCCATGGTGTCACAGGAGGTCGTATTGGTATATACTTTTACACGACCTCCAACCAAAAGAGATACCAAAGGTCACTGAAAAAAGGATAAACAAAGCTGAAATCTGATCTTTAAATTGCACTGTGAGTCAACTCCTGGTCCAATCCACATTGTAGGAAGGCCAGAATCCTGGCCACTGAAAACGAACGCAGAGAGACAGACAGGGACGAAAAAACACAAAACCAGGGTATATGTCAGATCTGCTTACACATCCCACGTATTGGCAACAAACTGGTCCACCTTGCAATTGAATCGAGATGCTAGGAGATCCATGTCTGCGGTCCCCCAATGAAGACAAAGGTGGTGAAAACCACCGGGTGAAGGGACCACTCTCCGCGACAACTGTAGTCCGCTTGCCAGATGTCCACACCTGAAATGTACACGGTGGAGAGAGCCAGAACATGCTCATCTGGCCAATCAAGTATGTGTGAGACCTCCAACGCAGTGGCTGCAATTTTGGTGCCTCTCTGATGATCTTTCTGCCTTCCAATTGGTAGGTCCTGAGAATGGTGCGTACACGGTCTGTGGGGACAACCACTTCTAGGGAAAATCTTCCTCAAACAGATAAACTGCAAAACTGTAAAACTGTAAAGGACATGTTGGTCATTTCAACTTCTTGTAAAGTCAGCAAGATGAATAATACGGAAAAACCTTGGTAGAAGGATGAGGAACTTTCTGCATCCTCAATTTTGAGGGTCTCCCCTTACAGACTTTAAAAGGGCTGAGACCAGCTATTTCTCCTGGAGAATGGCCGATGCGGAGGCCTCCTCCTTGCTACCAGACAGATCCAGTTTAGGATCAGATGTTCCAGGCATATCCCCCTCCGCAGAGGCATCCTCCTTGACGACAGATGCTATGGACAGGGGAGGGGAAGCAGGGGGTGGACATTTCCTTGGGGAAGCGACACGCCAAAGTAAACACATTAAAAGGACAGGAGTGCCAACAGAACCTGAAGTATCAGAAGTGGAGCCGGACAATGGTTGGGGCACCAGGGACATAGCAGCAGGCGTACAAGCGGCACAACACTGGCAACTTGATGCACTCCCACAGGAGGGACCACAACTCTTGCAAACTGAAGCAGCCCCTGACCCAAACGTTCAACTGTTAGGGACCCAGTAGACCAATCAAAGATAGAAGCCACCCCAGTGGCTGAGGCTTGCTCCACTAACCAAAGCTGCACAGCAAAGGTAGGGGGCCCCAGAGGGACACTTACCATCCCCAGATATGAAAAAATAGGATTTTTGTACTCACCGTAAAATCCTTTTCTCTCCGTTCATTGAAGGACACAGGGCAACAGATCGTAGATCCTGTACTGTAAGGTATATCGCCACCTGCAGGAGAAGGACGCTAGGCACACAAGAAAAGACAGACAGCCTAGAGGCGGCCCCTGCTGGTGGCCCAATCCCCCACCTGCTGACAAGTCTCCAGTAAGTAACAAGCAGTTAGGAGTACACACCCAATATAGAGGGCGGGACCTGTGTCCTTCAATGAACGGAGAGAAAAGGATTTTACGGTGAGTACAAAAATCCTATCTTCTCCTCCCTTCATTGAAGGACACAGGGCAATAGATCTTAGATCCTGTCCTGTAGGGACGTCCCCAAGCAATAACACAGAGGGATGGGCAAAACAACCAAAATTCCAAAAAGACCCCTCAAAGAGCCGCTTGCAACACTTTGCGCCCCAACCCAGCATCCGCCGATGCCGAAACATCCACCTTACAAAACTTGACAAAGGTGTGAATGGAAGACCAAGCCTTACAAACCTGAGAAACCGAGGCACCATGGCGGAAGGCCCAAGGTGCCCCAACAGCCCTAGTAGAATGGGCAGCGACAGGAAAGGGAGGCTCGCGCCCCTTAACGGCGT